AATCAATTTTCCATGGTCCGCCCTCTATACTCTGTTATCGACTACTTATATCCCCTACATTCCCCCTCTTGAAAACCATCTGATCCTCTCAAAATCCTTCAAAACCCACCCCCTTACCCAGGCGATAAAGATTACGACGGGTCGCTTTGGACAAATGATTTGACGGTATTGTCTTATTGATGCAAACTGTCTTACTGGAAACCAGTTCTTTCTCTGGTATTGGCGATCGAGTGCTAAACTGTTCCGTGCTTCGTCAAAACGTTACCTCAGTTTCCTACTCAGCTTCCAACAAAGCTGTTAACATATTCAGTACAAGGCTAAGAAATGAACTTAACTCGTACAGCACCATACGTGGTTGTTATAACAGCAAAGCTGTTACATAGTTTAGCATATGAGAGAGTGTCATCCAGTAAGCTTTAAGAATTATTCGAATAAAGTTTCTCAAAATAAAATTTATCCTAAGTCGTTTTAAAATTCTAGAATCCCCGAGTTTTGCACCAAAAGACAATTTTTGCCTTTCTAGTAAACTGATCTCAGTTCAATTACACGCTTGTCGTAGCCTTTACGACAAATGATTAACAAGTTTATCACAGTTTTGTATATTATTCGAATTTGCCAAATTTTTTACCCGGGAAAAATATTTTCGACGGTGCGTTTGAAGATTTTTCCGCTTTGGCCAAACTTTTTCAAGTCACCACAAACCATCTGCACTTGTAAAATGTTGGTGAGAACAGAAAATGTGTCTGAAATATACAACTTAGTCGTTAGTGCGGAAAAGGCCCTAAGTTATGAAAATTTCGACAATTTTGTTTCAAACTGACTAGGACGTAATTGCACACAAAAGAAGGGCGTGCATGGGTCAGCTACTGAGTTTCGACCTTTTAAGTCTCTCAAATGATCAATCTGTATTTAATACAAAATTAATCGATGTGTCAATGATCACTAACATGTCATTACTCAGAAATGACTACTTTGAGCTCAAGACCGTGGATTTAAAGCTCATGACGTCACAGTGACGTCACCATTGTTGTTACTAATAGGTTAGAACTAAACAGGGTCCTTCTTTCCCAGACTGAATACCCAAAGTTTAAGTTGTTTATCAGTGGAGTGTAGTTACACCCTGACGATTCGACGTGGAAATGAGTAACAACCTGCAGGCCGTAGTGGCTGTTAAGGAAGAGCACGTCATTATCGATGGAGTTCGATTGAAAAAGACGACAGCAGTTGTTGCAACAGAACAAGGGTTAGTTTGATGACACTGAAAATGTTCCCTAAGCTTTGATGTAACGAGTTCGGTTGTGAAGATGCATCAGTTTACGGCGATAAAATCTGGTTGCCCGACCAATCCCTGTGAAGTAGACTTTGTTTACTCTTGAAAACGATGATTCTTCCGTTAGTTTTTGCCCTTAATTGAATTCAGTGGTTTGATGTGCGCAAATTCAATTGACTCCATAAGCGGATGACCAATTAGGCGGAAGTAATGCTGAATACTGACTAATTTCACTTGTCTTTTTTATTCAACCTGTTAGTAAGCTTACTCATATTGTGGCCGAGATTTCACCTAATCAATTGAGCCTGTCATTAGAATCTGCTTAAATTTCTTTAATTCGTTTGTGAAATTGAAGCGATTGTTTTTCATATTTCTTCTCGAAGAAATATGTAAAACTTTGATAACTTTTCTTTGTTTAAATTTTTTGTTTTGATCTTTACACTCCAATGGTTAGGCCAAACATTGTGACCTTGTTTGTGAAGCATTGATATTTTGCTATTCAAACGATCCTAAGCTCAACAGTTGTTAATGTACATTGTTCACAAAGACGTTTCGAGCTTTAGCCCCTCGTCAGAGCAAATGATCTATTTAAACAGATCTTAAATCTTTGCTTTAGTTAAATAATTTAGCAAGCCAAATTTGAATACTTGTTGCTCACGTTCAATAATTGTTTCATGTAACTATAGATAAATATCACTTTCACCTTTTTGAAGACTTTTGTCAGGGACGAAACATTTTTTTCCTCTCTGTTCCAGTAATTAATGGGAATTCCCGTGAATTCGCCACTATACATTCCAACTTGGTTCTAAGGAAGAAAGATAAAACGTAAATAAGAAATCAAGCCCTTACTGGATCAGTCTTGGAACTTCTGAGTTTCCTTGGTAGACTCATGGCTTTTGTACGATGACCAATGATATCTGTCCTATTGCAACTATGTTTCGTCTCTCTCTTAGGTTCACTTCATCTAAAATGTGCAGTTTAAGTGTTCTTTACTCTAGATGTTAGTTTCATTTTTCTTACTCCTAAATTTCTTTCAGCATCTTGGCCAGGGAAGTGATAGAGGCAAGTGAAGTCAATTTGCCCCGAAGGTAAAAGTTAGTCTTTAGTCGTCACGTTAAGCTTCGAGGAGACTTCGACATAATCCTTCAACAAACTACTAGAGTGGAAAATGAAGAATATCAAAACAGATTGCAAATGGAGAACTTAAGCAATTAACACAGGACGCGATGCAGCCTCGGTTGATGACAGCAATCATTGAATAATAATAATAATAATATTAAGAATAATAAGAATTATTATAAAATGATATGAATCGAAAAAATGAAAATGAGTGAAAACCTATTTTAAAGACATGCTTTTCTAATGATCTCGAAACATTTTTTTCTATTTATCTCTCTTGATGTAAAAAAATAACTAGATAACTACTTTCATAAATCAATAAAGTATTGCATTGTCAAAGTAATGCAATACACACCTGGTAAATATCAAAGTTGCCGGAGCATTTCATATGTGTTTCTTTAAAATTTTATGAATTACTGGTGTTTTTTTCTTTTTCAGAGCTCCTCCCGTTGTTCAGGCCAGGTAAATTCTGCTTCATTATAGTTACATGGCATTTGGGAAGAATTTTAAGCGGGGTTATATATGACATAAGATTAGAGTCTGGGCAGAAGAGAGGATCTGCAAAGTGTCCCGTTGAGTTTGACAAGAGTTCATGCCACATCTATTTTGATGCATGATATTTTATTTTGGCCATTTACAGAACATCTCCCCCACTTCCCGTTGGGGAAGTAGTTCTTCGTTCAGAACCGAGACAGTTCTCTCCCCTTTTTTAACAATCTTAATCCCCAAGAGAGGATCTTTAACTAACCAATCCTGTGTCACAATGAGTCTGACAGGAGTTTAAATGACATCTATACTGATGGAAGAATTAAAAAGAAAAACATTTTTTTTTATATTTTGGCCTCTTCCAGGACACCTCCCCCACTACCTCCCCCAGTGGTGGTTGTAGTAGATTCTCCACCACCACCAAAACGCAGCTGTTGTGACTTTTGTTTCAAGTGTGAAAGCGGCTACAGCTGGTACGACTTGCATGGGAAAGGTAGATACTCAAATGCTTTCAGAGCCTCACTTGGTAGGGCTTATTGTAGCTTATAGATGTGGTGCTTTTTATAAGGAGGAAGAGGCAAGCAAAACCTATCAGGCATTCAGAACGGTCAAATTATTCCTTGATCAAAATTGACATTATTCATTTATTAATACTTATCAATCCCCCAACGCATTTATTTATATATTTTCAAATTCATTTATGCATTTTTTCATTCATTAAATCATTCATGTCCTTAGTTATTTACTCTCAGAACTGAATTGCATTGATTCAGCGTTCTTGAACAGCTAATTTACGGATAAGAAAAAGAAATTTAATAATTAAGTTATAAGATATTTATTTTATTATTTTTTTAGCTACATCCGAAAATTAATATGTTGAGTTTTTTGTCATTAAAACTATTATTTAAAAAATGTTATTGTTCTCGTTTGTTACTGCCGAAACGCCTCATACCGTTGAACGTTAGCACTTGCCAAAGAGAGCCTGAAAAAAATTCAGGCATCAACGGGACTCGAACCCAGGCCTCTCAGATACTAGCTGAGCGCTCTACTAACTGAGCTACGAAGCCGCACGTTGGGGGAGACGAGTTTTTAGGCTTAGAAAAGATTGTCAATTAATTAGGTTTCAAAACTTTAATTTGCTTCATCATTTTTCAGGTCTCTTTATTGTCCTGTTGCTGCTTGTGGGTTATTTGATCTTTGGAACTATCGGTTTGGCCTGTTTAGTGCTGTATTGTCTTTGCGCTTGCCTCAACTCGGCTCTCTCAGATGGAGATGACTGAGAAATGGATCACATCAATGGTTTATCTACGGAGATGAATTTATATTGAATCAATATTCCATTACCTATAGCGTTTTCACTCAATGTTTTGTACTTAATATGGGTTTTCATCTCTTCGAATTTGGCACTCTTGAGCAGATTTACTTCGGGTCAGTCAGATCAACTCAGCGTTTACAAGCTCTATACCTGATTCCCCCTAAGGCTCTTCTTATTCTTAAGAACC